TCTTTCTCAGACCGGTCTAAACACGTCAGCCAGTCACCTAGATGGGAAGACATGTGATCCTGAATGTCCCACACAAAACATCAGCGCCATTTTTCTTCAGTCTGCCCCTTGCAGCCACCTTTTTTGCTACTGCACCTGGCTTGTTGAGGACTTTTTTTTTGGGGGGGGGGAATCAGTAATTAGTATAGTACAGTAATGTTCTAACAGTCTATTGCCTTGATCGGTTAGTTCTTCTGAACTCCCAGCTTTCATTTTTTTTAAAAAAAGCCCTTTTCATTTCAGAAATATCCTTTTTCCATTTTATTTCCGAGCTGTTCTTGAAAAATTCCAGTAACAACAGAAAGAGAAAGAGGCTTTATAAAAGATGCAAGCTGAGAATTCAGAGGAGCTAGTAGGTCGTGGCAATAGATCCTGATAGCATTATTGTGGTACAGCACAGTAGCAAGTACTTTAAAAAAAAAGGCTGAAAAAACCCCTTCTGGCAGCATGGTGGGAGAGAAATGCAGGCAAACTGGCAGGTAACAGGAAAGCATGCACAAAACTCCCATGTGGCTGCTCTGTTAGCAGTGTGCTTGCCTCGGCACTTTCAGGGGTATTGAGGGGGAGGTGGTGAATCTTTGCAATGTGGATGCAGCCCAAGACAGCATCGGGGTGACATTTTGTTGCTACAAAGGGGGGCTAGTGTTGAAGGAAATGTGTGCGTGTTAATTTATTTTAGGTTTTAAACAGCAAAATGCAAACACTGGACAACTAAGGGAAGAAGAAAAATACAAAGAAAGAGTGGGGGGAAAGGATCTTACCTAACTACAGTCTTATAGTAGTAGATCGTATCAGTATTTATAAACAACAAAAGGGTCTTTTGTGGAGTTTTTGGAAGGGTCAATCCCCACTTCCAAAAATGTGATAAAAAGAAACCAAAGTATGCTTCCATTGAGAGGCCCGCAGTGTCCTCCATCTGGGTTGTTTAGGAGGGCGGCTGCGTTGGTCTGTGGTAGGACAGTTAGGTTCAAGTCCAGGCGCTCCTCAGAGACCAACCAGATTTTCGGGGTAGGAGCTTTTGAGAGTCAAAACTCTCTTTGTCAGATACCTAACAAGGGGAGTTTTGACTCTTGAAAGCTCCTACCCTGAAAATCTTTCTAGTCTCTAAAGATGTGACTGGACTCAAATCTAGCTGTTCGTTAGTTGGACAGAGATCATTGACCAGCGATGGTGGAGATTCCTTGAGTTCTATGTCCTCTGACTCCCTTGTTCAGACCACAGTGATGACACTTAACACTTTGTCAGAAACTAGATTCAAGTTGAAAAGGACCAATGGCTCGACTCATCGGTTATTATGTTCTGATGGTTTCTCGTAGCAACTTACTTTTCAGTAGTACTTTCTTTCTTGAACAGTGGGTCTCTTCTTTTAATTTCATTTTAAAATTAGTTCAGTTTTTTAAACTATGCAGCTAATTGTCAGGACTCACAGCCAAACAATGGAGCACACACTTCTGAGAAGGTTTTGCTTTATTGTCAGTACTATGGTTGCAATAACATGGTCATTGTTAGGAATGACGAGCAAGGAACAAGCATACAATGATACAGAAGATTCAAGAGATCCCCCCCACCCACCCATGGGCCAGGAAAGAGTAACCGATGACCCAACCGATCCAAGGCTGAGAAACGAAGCTAGTCTCACGGTTAATTAAAGTGGAGACACTACACAAGTATGAACACAAGGACAGAGATAACAAGGGGAGAAGCAAGAGGGAAGGAATGTGGCACTAACTTGTACACAGGTCAGGCAGGCGAACTCTAGGCTAATAAACAATAACTGACACTAATTGAACTTGATATTTCAGAGAAGATCATTATAACCTCAATGACTATTTTATCCTAATTATTTCAAAACTGAGTAAAAGAAGACCACCTCACCTAGACGTCGTCCCTTCTTTGCTGCCTGTTGATGTAATCTAATTAAAATGTTAATTTCAGTTTCTAATACCTTCCCTAATCTTTTTAAAAGTTATGCATTCATTTTCCATTTAAAGGCAATTTCTATCCGAGTGACTGTCAAGAAATTTATTACCCGTTTAAGGTCTTTCTTATAACAACATGCTTTAGATAATATTGCAGTAACTTTTGTGAGCCATACAGCAATAGGTACCCTTTTATTTCTCTAACTGAATTTGAAGCCATTCCCAAAATGGAGATACTTTTTACATAACTTAAGCTGCATGAATCCCTGTTTTCTTTAGCTAATTTTAATCAGTAAAAAATACCATCTGTATTAGGTATGGCTCACTCAGAGCACCTGGCTTCCAGATGAATCTACCAAAGTTTTTAAACAGTAAAACCTTGGTGCACATGTTCAGTCACAAGAAAAATTGTTTTCAAAGGTCATGAGAGACAGATTCCACTATTTGCTGTTATGTCTCTTTTGGGCTTTGTCATAGCCAATAGCACCCAGGACAAGCAATGAAATGGTTTGTATAAATATTATCATTTGTGTTTTCTAAAAGGACCATTCTTAGTCTGCCTTCTGAAGGGTTTTTCACACCCACACTCAAACACACCATGATGAAATGTGGCATCCTATTATGTGTACTTCAACTAAACCCCTGCGGCTAGTGGCACTGTTTGGAGACTAAACTGCCCTGAAGAAGACAGAGGCTACTCAACTCGTATCTACATAAAAACCTAGAAAAATAGATTTCATGCAGAAGACGAGGGACACTTCTAAGTCTTAACTGTTAATGGCACGCAAGGAATCACAGAGGTAAGGATAAAAAATTTAAAAATTTCCCCACCAACCCAAATGTTCCCCACCAGGATGCTATAAACCTCCTCAGCAAGCCAATTTACTCCTCCACCAGCATTATGGAAACAATGAGCATACTCAGTCCTCATCACATTGGGGGTTTTGTGTAGGGGAGGGAGACTTTTAAAATTTGCAAACCAACAGGATACTGCATACTTAGGGAGTCTGCAAATATGCAGAAACATGAAATATGCAGAAACAAGAAGAAAAGGTGGACATCCTTTTCTGCCTTCATGACAGACACTCAACCATGAGTTTTGCAATTAGAGGGAATTCCCATTTTCACTTGCAATATTTCATTCCTGATTTATTTCACTTCCCCTTGATCTTGATTTAATTGCTAGTAATAATTTACACTTTTCATGACTCAGGTCGAATCTACATTTGCATTTCTAAATCAGTTTCGTGTTGCTATGACACTGTCTTTCTCTATGTTTGACGGCATCACAGCAGCACAAAACTGATTTAAAAATGCAAATGTAGATTCAACCAAAATCTCTCATTTTAGTACCGTGAACAAAATAAACTTCTGATACTGTCTCATGGCTAAATGTTATGTTCTTTGCATGTTGCTTGCAAAAAAGGACAGGACAGGGCAGAATGTGGAGGAGTCATGGGTTCTCATTCAATTGTCCCCCCTCCCCCCGCATTATAACATAGAAAATTACAACCAGAGATAAATGTTCACAGAATCTAGAGAGGTATTTTTCTTCTCAGTGAATAAAATCTCCTGCTGTTGTTCATTCCTCATAGAGCGCAGACCTAACCGGGAGACTGTAGAGCTTTAAAAAGATTACCATTTGTCCTGAGTTTATAATGCTACCCAAACAACTGGTTTATTTTTAACTGAGAGTGGTCAATCCTTATTCAACATTCACCACAGAGGTTGCAATGGAGTAGTTATCCACTTGCCTGCATCACTTTTACAAAGTATATTAATTAATGACATCAAAGTTACAGTTTTACACTATAAAATATGTTTAGTGCTCCAGGTCATTTCTTTCTTTCTTTCTTTCTTTCTTTCTTTCTTTCTTTCTTTCTTTCTTTCTTTCTTTCTTTCTTTCTTTCTTTCTTTCTTTCTTTCTTTCTTTCTTTCTTTAATAGGAAATAGGAGCTTCTTTATTCTCCACCAACAGTAAACTCTGTCATAATTCTAGGCCAGGGAGTATTTTTGTTGGATAAATAGCATTAAACAAGAAATATATATACATAATAATTTTAATTACAGTTATCCTTCCTTACCATTTTTTCCTCCATTTTTGCGACCTTTTGTGATTCCATTTACCTGTAGATCCAAGTACTACCTAAATCTACAGATAGTCAAAGTGTTCCAAGAGAACAGATTTCAAAGGAATTTCACAATATTGCTTGATTAGTTCGGTATGACAAGGCAATACATTTCATGGCAGCAATAAAATTTTTGTTCATATATTTTATGCTCTGGCTAGTAGCTTTATCTGTGGATAATCTGGAGGACCTTTTGAAGAGATACAGATGGGAACAGACACATTATCTGCATATCCAGAGAATATATCTTCTTTTCACAAAGTAGTTACCTCTTTAATCTCTTTTTCTGTTTTAAATGCAATAGACAGCAATTCTACAGAGTAAAGGTTAGTGGCAAAAGGGATATCCTTGGCTATTTCAGTTAGTTGTCTCTTTGTACCTGAAACAGTTTTTAATAAGTATGGCTCAGTATCAGTCAACATTGTGATTCAAAATTTATCCCTAAACTTGGTCCTACATATAATTACCTAGAGGTAATAGAGGAGCTGTGGTGGCTCAAGTGGTTAAGATGCTGAACTGCAGGCTGTGGAAGGTCGGTAGTTCAGCAGTTCGAGACCCGAGCTGCCGCATGACGGAGTGAGTTCCCGTCTCTAGTTCCAGCTCCTGCCAACCTAGCAGTTTAAAAGCAAGAAATTGCAAGTAGATAAATAGGTACCACTTCAGTAGGAAGGTAACAGCGTTCCGTGTGCCTTGGTGTTTAGTCATGCCGGCCACATGACCATGGAAATGTCTTCGGACAGCGCTGGCTCTTCGGCTTTGAAACGGAGATGAGCATTGCAACCCTAGAGCTGGATTCGACTGGCTTTCGAGCAAGGGAACCTTTACCTTTTTAATACTGTAAAAGCTTTTAAGGTGCTAGTCGATCCAAGTGTCCGACTTCCAGGGCAAGCGTATACCTCTGGCAGGGAGGGATATGTTTAATGTTGAGTTTAAGGGGAAATGTGCGAAACTTTCCTTGCTCGTGGCTGAGGGGAACAGAGTCAATCTGTTGGGGCTTGATTGGTTCGAACCCCTTGGTATTGCTATTACTGGCGTAAATAATGTGGTGCAAAATAAATGGGCATTACTGTATGATGAATTTGTGGATGTGTTTGGGGGCGGTCTAGGAAAATATACGGGGCCCCCAGTGTCTTTTGAGCTCGATCCTTCGGTAACCCCGATCCGCCTGAAATATAGGAAAGTACCGATTCCGCTGAGACCAAGGATCGAAGCTGAGCTAGACAAGCTCATCGCCCAGGGTGTTTTAGAACCTGTTCCCTATAGTAAATGGGAGACACCCATTGTTACCCCGGTGAAACCAGATGGGTTGGTGCGTATATGTGTTGATTATAAGTGCACCATTAACAGGGCCTTACAACAGCACTCCTACCCTGTCCCTGTAATCAGCCATATTCTGGCGTCCCTGGGTGGGGGCAAGGTATTTGCAAAATTCGACCTTGCCCAGGCGTACCAGCAGCTGCTGGTGACTAAGGACACAGCTGAAGCCCAGACAATAGTCACTCACAGGGGGGCTTTCAAGGTAAACCGCCTGCAGTTTGGAGTCAATGTAGCCCCAGGGATCTTCCAGGGACTGATGGAAGGATTATTGAGGGGGGTGCCGGGAACAGTGCCCTACTTCGATGACGTGCTTATTGCTGGAGGGTCCGATGAGGAACTGATGCACAGGGTCAGGGAAGTGTTGACACGCTTCACAAAAGCAGGGCTGAAAGTCAAACAATCAAAATGTCTTATCGGTGTGCCTAGCGTGGAGTTTCTAGGGTTCCGAGTTGACCGGGACGGAGTGCACCCCACCGATGATAAGGTAAAAGCTATAAAAGAGGCACCGAGGCCCTGTAATAAAAAAGAGTTGGTCCTTCCTCGGACTGCTCAATTTTTATCATGCCTTCCTACCCCACAAGGCGTCGGTGGCGGCGCCATTACATGCGCTCCTGCACAAGGACGTGAAATGGCGGTGGGGACCTGAGCAGGAACGGGCATTTGAAGGTGTTAAAGCTTTATTGTCTTCCGAGGCTGTCTTAACCCACTATGACGATCAGAAGCTGCTAGTTCTGGCCGCCGATGCATCTCCGTTTGGGGTGGGGGCTGTGCTCAGCCATGTAATGGAGGAATATTGTCTTCCGAGGCTGTCTTAACCCACTATGACGATCAGAAGCTGCTAGTTCTGGCCGCCGATGCATCTCCGTTTGGGGTGGGGGCTGTGCTCAGCCATGTAATGGAGGACGGACGGGAAGCCCCC